TGTTATACGGATGTAACAAATTACTGGCCATAGGGATTTGAGTTGTACAATCCGATGACATTGATGTATTTTTTGGCCAACAGAATATTGAAGGACTACAAAGATCTGCAAGGCTTAAATACAAATGTTATATTATGTGAATTTATTATACCTCTACTGATTTTTTCCTATATAAAAGTTTGACAGTAAAATGTGAATTATTCCCTAGAAATATCTGTGAAAGGACGTATCCTTTGTGTAAGTCAAATGAGCTAATTCCTGCTTCGGAAGTTAATTCCCCGGTTATTCGTAATCCTCTTGATTGTACATGTACTTTGGATCGATCTAATTTGTTAATAATTCCCCATTATTCGTAATCCTCTATTTTTTACGTTTGTAATTTGTAATAAAACAGTTTAAAAATTTATCATTGAGAGAGTTAGCAAGATTCCAGTTCCTCTCGACAAGGGAAATAGTCATGGTCCTGGGGAACTTGAATCATGTTAACTACCCTTAATGCTATACTTTAACTGTGTACTAACGTTTCCAGTGCATTAAAGTTATAAAATAAGTATAAACACCTAAAAGCAGAACACATCCAGAAGCTAAGAAGAAGTTGAAATAGTTTTCCCGATTTTTGACTTTTTAAAACACTTATTCTGAGATATCGTGATGACCCAGTATTTATGAAATTAGTGGATACTCTTTATCCACGAAAATACATCCTCTACAAATCAATATGCAAGGGGTTCCAAGTACTTTTCCTTTTGTGCATATGGTAGCTTGGTGAAAATACGTCCCCACTTACGAGTAAAATTAAAGCAATCAACGAATATTGTTCCTAAGGGCATTTGAATTTGATTATTTGAATGTCAACCTGTGATTTACTTGGGTTTCTTTTTCTTGGTTGAGGGGTTAGAAAAAATTAAGAAAAGACTCTGTCGAATTATAATGTACAGAATGTACTGTATAATCAACCATAAATTAAATTAAAGCCATTTACTCATATGCATGATATTTTGAAGCTCGTTTTAAATACAGTACCTCTTTTTACCAAACATCCGACAGCAATAAGCTCATTATTTAGAATCCGTGGTTCTGTGCATACAACAACATCAAATTTATCCTTCAGAACATTATTTGTTCCATATCTGTATTCTTCTGTGGTGCCTGCATCCCAGTGCACTATCAACCATCCAGCTTTTTGTTATAAAAATTCACACGTTTAATTTCTTGATGAAGTTAAAACAAATAGTTTTTAATAGACCAGATCTAGACCTTAATTTTAACTTCCATGTTCATATCTTTAAACATTATCAAAATCATACGTAGACCACATCCCTATGATTTGCATAAAAAATATGCAGAAAGATTATGATTGAAAATACAATTTACAATAATTAATAGCTTGATTACAATAATTTTGGATTTTGTTTGTTTATGACTCTGAAGGTATTGTACTTTTATTTTAAAAAAGTCATTTATTCATGAAAAGTATATTTTGAAATAAACACTTTTCCACTTATGTAATGTCACTCACTTTGTCCTTTGGTTTAAGTGGCCTAAATATTAAAGCTTACCATCATTTGAATGCGCTACAACTGTACCAGGTCCAATATGATCTTTGTTTTTCCACACCCAGTCTGGACCTCTTTCCACCCTACTTCCTAATGGAGGCATATTGGGATTTGGCTCTTGAGATCTTATATCCATCTCATGTTTGTCATTCTCTGCTTGGATTTCATCCATTGATATAAAGACTGATTTCAATGAGCAGATATCGAAAATATCGTCCTACAATGAATCAATTCGAAAGCTTTCCTTTGAAAATCTTAAACATCAAGTTAATTGTTAGAGTAACACGGGTAAAGAATAAAGAATATTAAAGAAGGTTTGAATGATTCCCACAAATTATCAAATGAAATGTATAACAAAGTAAAGCCAAATACAAGTATGTAAATCTTGTTAAAACCTTATCCATTTCAGTGAACTCCTTTTCAGGTATAACTTGAGACATCAGATCTGCAATTGCTTTCTTATCTAATTTATCTAAACTTGTTGAAAAAGTAACCAATTCGGCAACACTCTGAAATCGATAAAAATTATATTGTACTTAAAATATTTATCCAAGTAGAATTATCGAAATTTTCATTGTTAGTAGTGGATTATGCCATCAGAATTCTATTTTTAAAATCATTTAATATAACATACACATCATTGATGCATTTTAGATATTGAAGTTAGTTTTACCATATTTTTCGAGAGTTTTGCAAACTGTTTTGCCTGATGTGGAAGAACAACCTTTCCCCCTCTGGAATGAGCAGACATAAATTCTAAATTCGCCTGTTGAAATTCAAATATATACATATTTCAATTTTTGTACTTAAAAGATACACCACATCTTAAAGCTAACAAATGTATCACAAAAATTCCTGCTACTTTGATGTTTTTGGCGGCTATAAATTTTCAAAACAGTCCAGAAGTATTAATTATATTTTTATTTTCAATTACATTCTTGTTAAATCAAAAATTTTCTCTTGATTCATATCAAATGTTCCATCATCCATGCATTCTTTAAGAGTGAAATTAAACAAATGAAAAAAAAAAATAAAGTAAGCAGTGCTACCATGTCTGGATTATGACCAACGGGTATACAATAAATTGGATGAACACGTCCAATATTTCTTGCCACCTGATACAAATAATCTCGCACCTGAATGTATAAGCCAAATTATCTGTATCTAGTTTAAATAACTAAGGAAAATCAAAACTCATTTATTTAGTGATTAATTCATAATAATAATTAATACACTTAAGTGTACATGTTTAAAAATAAAATCTTTTACTTGGGAAATAAGATGAATACATTGATATTTTAGTTAAATTTATTTTTAAAATGCAAAAAAAAAAAAAAAAAAAAAAAAAAAAAATCAAACCTCATCGGGTCCTCGTATAAACCTGTCGCCTGAATAAATCATGGAAGTAAAATCCGTAGGTCTGCCAGCAGAAATAAGAATGAGACGTGGATGTATATGGAAATGTCCCATTATTTTGCAATAACCTGAACATTATAAATGATACGTTAAAATAGACTGCCATTTAAAATGTTCTCTTTAAAACTCATTAAATGAAAATTAAGAATTTATATTGACAAAAATTTTATGCATCGCAAACTTTTCTTTGAAGAAAAATATATTTTCTTTATTTTAGTTTTTTTTAAAGTAAGAAAATCATTTATGTTTAAAATTTTCAGAATACAAAGGACTTAATTGTTATCATAAACTAGAGAAAAGAAAAGCAACCTGCGCCGTTAAAAATTGCCCCCTCTGATAGAATAAAAGCTGCCGCAAGAGGACAGGGACCGCCATATTCTGCATCATCTGAAAAAAATGCTGTTATTAATAATAAATCTATAAAATTCATTTTTGTAGGTGCCCTGCAAAACTTCACTTGATGTAGTATACATTTCAAACAAAAACTTATCTCAAATAACTTACTAAGGATTGAAAACATATCGGCTCTACGATAAAATGTCTATTTATTTGATTATTTTCTTTTATTTCGGGAATAAGTCAAGAAGTATTTTAGCAAGAACAGTCTTATGGTAGTTGTTATATAAGTACTCAGAATGAATTAAAAGGAAACATATGACCAAATGACATTTTGTAAAAAAAATATCAGATGATTTGTTTTGAGATTTACCTATGCAGTGCTTCAATCTATTGTATTTATTGGAGTAGTAATGCTTAAATGTTGTCGTTCTGCCGCAAATCACCACAGCAACATTTTCATCCATGCTTGGATATTTCGCATATTCTGAAATATTAATTCATATTTTAAAAAAAATTAATATGTAGGAGACACATGTACCATAAGTTATTTGATGGAAAGAAAAATTGCTTATTTACGCAGTTATGATAAGGCTGTCCGAAGGCTTAAAATGCCGTAAAATATACATTTCATTTTGAGCTAGATTTTCATTTCAATATGTATTCCTTGATTGAAATAGCAGTCAACCTGAGATAATAATTTAATCAGGTATTAGAAGAAAGAATTTTTGTGATGTCACATGACTGTGTTGATCACGTGACGGAGATTTATGATATTCCTAATTGTTGCACAAAAATCGCTTCGGCACAAGTGCAAAACAAAAATCTTGTGCAAAGTTTGTTACATAGATCAGTTTATCGTGATCTCTGGTACATATAAAGTGCTGGGGGCAGGTTTAAATTTTACTCTTTAAGAAAATATTTTACGAGAAATGGAACTTACCAACATAAGAAGAGGTATTTTCCACTCTTGATCGCAATTTATACAAAAATGGATAAACTACAAACTATCCCCCAGCAAAATTCAGTTAGAGGACATACTTCTCTTGTAGATTTACACAGAATATCTTCAATTTGTCCTTGTTTATCACTTGTGCCAGTCCAATATAAACACGGTTCATGAATTCTAACTCTGTCTTCAGATGTGTAAGGGGAGCGTTTCACACATAGTTTTTGGTTATTGTTTGAATATGTGCATATCGGACAAGCGAAAGGAATAGGGATATTTAAATTTCAAATGTTCAACATAACAGCACATTTGAGCTTAAAAAACAATCCTAACACTTGAATTAAACAAGTCCCCAAAATAAATCTACATGCTATGTAAAAATTATGACACTTTCCCCGTCATGTCAGCTCAAGTATGCAGTGACTTGACGTCATATTCTATTATGACGTCATATCTAGGTAGTTCAGAGAAGTTACTACAGTTTGAACAGTTTGATATTTTAAGGGGAGCCTTATCCTAGCTGCGTAGGCTGGTGAAGTTTAAAAATTCCTATTAATTTGTGAGAAAAATTATGTTGTTCACCTGCATATTTGACTTTTTTGTTATCTTCTGTACTTATAAATTAATAAATTTTGCAAATAAACACTGAAAAGGGTGCACAAGAGATCTTATCTACTCCTCTAATACTACACTTTATTCAAGATGATGTCCGTAAACTATATTTAGATTTCACTCTGATATAGTAAGTATCGTACATAAAATTAAAAGTCTACTTCAATTTTCTGAAAACAGCTATGAAATAGCATCAACGTCAGTATGGTGCCGTTTCCGGTTGGCGGATCTAAGCTACTGGCAAATTTTAGTGAAATGACAACAAACAATCGATTATTTATTTCATAAAATGTCATCACTGTTTTATTCAATCAAAACTTGATTTCAATGAAATAAAAGAAATAAGTTGTGATAACCGATTAAAAAGCGAAAAGTGCAAATTAGTTTCGTCAATCACCAATCTTAATTTTGACGGAACTTCTAGAACATCATGAAATAGAGTTATCTCCCTTTTGCTACAATGTTTTAATCAAGAAATAATTGTAAATAATGTAATTAACGGGATATTTGATTAAATAGTTTTACAGCAAATGATGTTACATCAATTTAGAATAAATAAAAACAATAAGTTGGCAAAAACGAGCAAAGTATGCTTAAAACTATCAGAAACATATTGTCGCCGGGAAAGTCACTAATATTTATTAATACAAGGATTATATAAGGAAACAAATGGCAATTGATCATCGCATATTAAATTAAAAGTATTCAATCTAAATAGGTTGCATTTGACCAGCGAGGAATGTCAAGAGTTGACGAGCTATGACAGGTGTAAATATTATTAGTACAGGAAATATAAATATCGAAAAACTAAAATATATGTAGTTCAGCTGTACATATATATTTTTCTTATGAGTTTATGGGTAAAAATAGTATTTTCCTCACTGAGACCATCGTGGCAACGAACCCGACGTACAATTAGTACTTTGTAATAAATTAACTTGTTCACAATAACAGAGAAAATTTAAGAATAAGGTATTGTTTAAATATAATTAAATCTGTAAAGTTATGTGCTTTAAAAAAGACATTTTGGTTCTTTTTTTTCTAAAAAAAATTCCTTTTGTGTTAATTACTCGGCCTTTTTACAGGGGGGGGGGGGGGGGGGCAAAAGCTAATTTTACACGTTTGTTTATGATATGTACATGTATGGTCCTTATTATATTGATATGTAAAAAAAAAAAATCCCCCCCCCCCTCAAAATCATAATCCATAACATTGTATTAGGTTTCACATAAATGTCAAATAAAGAATTATTTAATTTTTTCAAGTTTTCACAAAAAGTGGGTGGGGATGATGACGTACATCTACTGCAAATGGTAACTACCCCGGTATATAAAATTTCAATTCCCCACACTTGCGCAGGTGTTTATCTAGTGTAATTAAATAATCAAGAACGTGCTGTGAGTGCAAGCAATCTTAAACTGATGCAGGCTATTGACAGAAACATTGATGATACAGAATTTCTTCAACTTCGTTTAATGTCAGAATTTCGTAAATTATATGGTTGTAATAATGACCTATTTACAAATATAACATTTCATTAGATCGTAGTTTGGCAGACGTTTTTGACCTTAATTTATAGCAAATGTGACTTCGAAATGTTTTGTCATTTCTTTGACCAATACATTTGGCTCACACCGAACATGTCAATCACCATAGGTATAACATGGTGAGGTTTGAGTTAAATTTTACACGTGTGATTGTTCCTCATGAATTTAGATCTAGAGTTAACATTGTACAACGAGGGATTTTGAATAAGCAGAAGAACTAAATAATATCACAAGTACCATCCATGATAGTGCAAAATGTCTCTTTCATTTGAATGAAGCCTTCTTCTCCCACATTAGAGGACGTGTCTAGTATAAATATATTACATGCCCCTCTCCCTTGTTGATACCTTCGTTCACGATCTACAACAAATATATCACCGATCTACAACAAATGTATCTTGAGATAATGAATTCATCTACACTACAAGAATTACCTGGAGGAAATGCTCATTTAATGTTTTTAAACTTACTTTTTATGGCATTGATTGATGATTGTTGTCGCCAAAATTGTTGTGCATTTTCCAAGGCATAATCCATGCTGCAAAGGAATATATGCATTGAAATACAAAAACTTATATGTAATCTAATGACGGTTTCAATATACATGTACATACATTTATCATGGATTTTGATTGATTGAAAGTCAACGCATGTGTAACAAGGACAAATAATTTTTTTTAAACAGAATTTTATTTTAATTTTAGCCTTATTTCCTGTTCCACCATATTATTTAGGAGGGGGTTCGTTTACTTTATAATTACTCAATGGCATAAAATCATCTATCAATTGGGCAATAGTATACTTTTTTGGTCTGTTCTCTTTGAGAATTTTTTAGGACGCCACCACTTGCGGTTGAGGGCTGCAAATTAAAACCTGTGTTCCGCACCTACAACCTTTAAGCAATGGGGTTGTTTTTGTGTCGTTGCCTGCTGCAAAAGATAAACCTAGGCTTAAATATGCTCATTGGAAGGGCCAATTTTCACGTCTAAGATTGATTGAATAGTAATTATTGCAAATAATTTCATTTATGTGACATGTTCTTGTTTTATTATGTTATTATATAACAGTGTCTGTATTGTACATAGCTTTATACTAAGCAGCTATTCGGTTCTTTTATCGAACTAATTTTACCCCTTTTCCTACATCTAAATATGGGTTCAACCAATCAGCAAAGCTCTTATCCATCACGTGATCATTATTGATCCGTTTACCAAAAGAGAAAGCATGGTTTATTGAACTGCTGAATTTTTCGAATTTATCCCATATTTCCCACAGAAAATCCTACAGCTTTTGTTGTGATACCATTTTGAAGATTTCGGACGATGTGATCTGCTTGTTATTTACAGAAAAACGTCTGTAAAGTGAGTTTTTGTTACGAAATCGGCCTTGTAAAGTTTACATCCGGGCATTAAGCATGCTGAGGAGTTCACAACTCAGGACGACCAAAATAATTTACATGTGATTTTTACATGGATATTCTATTACTACGAGTCGTCTGGGGAATAATATGGTCAATTGAAGTAAATTTGGTAAACGATCGATAAACAGTGTCAGTAAATCTACAGTGGTGTAAAATATGTAGTAAATAATGTCGGGCTCGAGATCCCGAAAACTCTTACATGAACTATGTCAGCTGTAAACATAGACCCTTCGCTGTAGGTCTCTGCTGTAAACAATAATATCCAATTACATTATAGACCTGACAGTGTATAGACTTGTTCCTGGGAGGTTTTTGCAACTGGCCGTCAGTGATTCACCTACATCGTTAATCCTAACACCATGATCAAGCCTGGAGATTTTATCAATCACACCGGTAATTTCATTCCTTTAGGAACTTTTGCCTATTTACGGTGATTTGCAATTTGCTGAGCTTTGAAAATGTGCATCTATGTGATAACATCATTTTTATTAATTGTCCATCCAAAATATCACAAGACAGTTTTGCTTGTTACATTCACCTTGGCCGGGGAATAAGAACCTGTTTGTTACAGTGGAAACCCTTCGCTTCTTCAAGGACTTGAATGTCAGAATCATCTACACAAACCAGATACTGATGAGTGAATATAAACAGCTCAGCAGTGACGAGTGTTACCTTTTTACAAGTTATGAGATCTCCATTGATGCTGATGTAGTATTTACTTGACACTCCTGCATTCCCAGTATAAAACAGGCCAGTATTGTATAGTACTTCTGATGAAGTCATGTGTTATCCATTAAAACTAAGTTAGCTAGCTCATAATAAAAGGCTCAAGTTTTTTGGTTCCTTATATTATTTTGCAATATTTTTACCAATACAGGTATCATACTTGGTAACAAATCCTGCGTTTCCTCTTAAGAGTTTGAACAATGAATGATACTTATACGTTGTTCACGGAGCCAAAAATTTTGTTTGGAGTTAGTTGCCTATGTGATGTTGGTACAATATTGCCATTATATGGGTACACAAATCTTATTATGTATGATTCAAATTTTCAGTTGTTGAATCAAGACATAGTGTACGTGGGACCACATACACATTTATCACATAAACTGTGCAGGTCATAGGCACAGCTTGTATATATGTAGAATGATTAACATAATTTAATGCTGATATAGTATTGTTGCTAAGGGTGCACACCATAGTTTGAGGTGACCTTTTACTGAGAATTAGTGTAGAAGTGAAGTCCACATACACTACTTATGTTTACCATGCAAACCCACCACTGATTTACACGTTATGTTGTATTTTATGGTTGTGAAGGACCATATTCACATTTATTTCACTGACACATGCACATTTATTTGGTTGACTCTTGTAGGAACATATACGCATATTTTGTGGACATGTGCAGAACAATATGCATATGTATTTTGTTGACTTGTACAAGACCATGTGCACATGTATTAACCTTTTGACTCATGAAAGATAATATGCAAATGCATTTTGTTGATCTGGGCAGAATTATATTCACATGTATTTTGTCGACTCATGCAGAACCATACATAATTATGCCAAATTCACATACATTTTGTTTTGTTGACTTGTACACAACCATATGCACATGTATTTTGTTGACTTAGTCACTTGTGCAGGACCATATGCACATGTATTTTGTTTTTGCTGTCTTGTGCAGGACAGTATATGCACATGCAAGTTGTTGACTCATGCAGGTCCCTATGCACACATATTTTGGTGACTTGTGTAGGATCATATACACATGAATTTTGTTGAACTGTGCAGGGAAAAAATGTGCAGGACCAGATGCACTTGTGTTGTTGACTTGTGTAGGACCATATACACACGTATTTTATTGCATTGTGCAGGACCATATGCACAGTAATGCACTTGTGTTTGTTGATTTGTGTAGGACCATATACACATGTATTTTATTGGATTGTGCAGGACCATATGCACAATAATGCACTTGTGTTTGTTGACTTGTGTAGGACCATATACACATGTATTTTATTGGATTGTGTAGGACCATATGCACAATAATGCACTTGTGTTTGTTGATTTGTGCAAGACCTGCATGGTATTACATAATGACATACAAATTTTGTTGACTTGTGTAGGACCTTATACGCATGTAATATGTTGAAATGTGCAGGACCATATGCACTTGTGTTTGTTGATTTGGGCAGGACCTGGATGGTAGTGAATAATGACATACATTTTTGTTGATTGTGTAGGACCATATACACATGTGATCTGTTTTGCTGACTTGTGCAGGACCATATGCACTCATGTTTTCTTGATTTGTGCAGGACCATATGCACATGTGATGTATTTATAAGTCTTGCAGTACCTGCATGGAACTGCATAATGACATACATTTCTGTTGACTTGTGTAGGACCATATACACATGTAATTTGTTGACTTGTGCTGGTCTATAGACAAATGTTTTTGGTTGTCTCAGGCATGACTATATGCACTTTTTCTGAAGTGAATCCAGAACCATAGGTATCTAAAATAAGTGTGCAGAAGTGTGTTTTGAATAACATGCATATTTGGCATTATCATGTTCTCCAGAATCAATCAATGCACAAGTTTATGATTTATAAGTTAACAATTTATTTGCAATACATATTTAAATATATATTTAAAATGTTTAATAATGCATGTTTGCTATCTTTCTTGGTAAAATAATGTTATAATGAGAATAATTTATGCTGTATATATGTAGACATATTCTCATGTTGGAATTTACATAACCTGTTATTCCCTGTTGATGTATTGCAGTTGTGCAATACCCAAAGTAAAATAATTATGCCATTCTCTAAGAATTTATCTTGCATGTTCTGATTGTTCAGTTGTATAGAACATGGCTCAAAATATTGATTTAGATCAGAGCACTTGATTTAAAAAAAAATGAATATCATATACTGGATAGTAGTTTACACTTTTACTTTTCCAGAGTTACCCATCCCACCAAATTAGAAACAGACACTATCCACACTGGGTAACGCTCGCAGAAGCTATATAGGCCATGTGGAAACAACAGTCAGAAATCAGATACGCATGCACAGACAACACAACAGTGGACAAACAAGTGCCCATTACCAAGGACATTGCCTCAACATAGCAAAGTATTGTGGCAACAGCCACTTTAAGTTTGGGTGGTGTATTGGTTCATGTTTCTTGGGACTGCTCTATCAACAAGTCCATTGAGTAAGATAATATCATGATCAAATGGTTTTTCACTTAATTCAATAGTTTCTGTAAAAAATATATATATCCTAATTTTGAAATAATGATTTTTATACACTTCATGTCTTTTTTCAGTGCATGAAACAAACTTTTGTCAATTCTTCTGAAACAGGGGTTATAGATATGCAGCAGGGCCCAAAATTTTAAATTCCAATCACTTTAACTCAATTGAACAATGCATTTTAAATATTGTGGTTAAAACTCAAAAAAAAAAACAAAACAAAAAACTTTCATCTAAAAACTAACCTTATTCAGGATAAAGAGACTCATTTGAATATTTCAAAGCTTTGATCAAGATCTAGTAAACTGAAAGTCATGTCAGAGGGATATTTACAAGTTTTATGTCAAAATGAAACTTTCTAGAAATCAAATAAGACCTAGGGTGATCCTAGGATCATCAATATATATATATATTTTTTTTAGATGGAAAAAGAAAGAAAATGGTAAAATTACAGGCCCTTTAAAAGATACACATTTTCTTGAAATCATATCTCCTATAATAGTTGTTCTACAAAATATGAAACAAAGGGTGAATACAGTTCATGAATCATCTCTATAATCAGTCTCTGTAGAGTCTCTTATTTGAAATGTCTCTTGCTGACATCAGTTACCAATAGTATGTCAGATAAGCGTTATACCATATGTATGACATTATCTGTATTGTCAGATTCCGCTTAATAGCTACATTACAGCTTTTCCTTTCTTTCAAGCAGATCTATTTCATTTTTCATGTTTTCAGAGAAAACTAGCAATGTCTCTCTATATTAGAAATAAGTTATTGTAATTCTCAGTTTGCTGTTCATTCTATCCAGGAAATAACATATTACCTGGTGTTTGAAAAGTGTTTACAAAACTTTTAACCATAAGAAAAGACCAGCTGGGATAGGATACAATATTTATAAATTTAAATTATGCAATAGGCTGAAAACACCTTGTGTAGCAGGGACCAAGCCAGAAGTTGTCTGTTGGTTCCGTATACATGTACCTATCCTCACAAATTCAAACCCTCAGTTTGGTAATCTGTTTTTCTCTCGAGTGGTCAGAAGTTGTCTGTAGTTAAGAGGAACATTTTTTGGAACATGATGTAAGTTTGACATCTCGGTTGACTGGTCAGAAGTTGTCTGCAGTCATGAGACACATTTTATGCAGCATGGTATATGTTTGACACCTTTGTTGACATCTTCAGAAGTTAACTGTCTGCAGTCACTAGGCATATTTTTTATGCAGCATGGTGTATGAATAGCAACTTTGTTGACTGAACAAAAGTTGCCTTCAGTTAAGAGCCACTTTAATGTTGCATGGTGTTTTTTTGATACCTTTGTTGACTGGTCAGAAGTTGTCTGCAGTCAAGAGGCACATTTTGATGCAGAATGGTGTAAGTTTAACAACTTTGTTGACTGCAGCATGGTGTATGTTTGATACCTTTGTTGACTGGTCAGAAGTTGTCTGCAGTCAAGAGGCACATTTTGATGCAGAATGGTGTAAGTTTAACAATTTTGTTGACTGTTCAGAAGTTGTCTGCAGTCGACAAGGTCAGTGTTCATGATTATAAATTCCCATTTTGCTTTCTGGTTAATATTTACTACAGACAGGTGTTTTGTATACTTTTTAAAATTATTTCATGTTTTGTCCTTTGTAATGTTTTCACTCAGTGTTATTGGATGTTTCTTTTTCTTGTTCACAATAACTATTGTATTGTCTTTTGAACTGAGTATATGTCAATTTTTTTTAAAGATGTTTAAATGCTTTTGTATTAATCATCCTGTTGAGGAATTTTGCGTCTCCTGCCAAGACGCCTTCGGGTGGGTGGATAATTTAATAAAATTTTAACACAAGGCTTGCATAAAAGTCATACATTTATTACTTTAATGATGAATATCAATTGAACCAATTTCTAAATCCCTGCAATAGTGGATAAGAAATTTACATACAATCATTTTAAATTCGAAATGTATGAAACACTATAATTCACACGACAAACACAAATCACGATGAAAAGTATTTTTAAAAATTCTTTACTAGTCTGTAACAATTTTGACTTCTGATTCCTCTCTTGTCGTCAAATTTATCTGTATACCTTTTGCCATGACTACTCTGTATCTAAAATAAAACATTTCTATTTGTTCAGAAAGATGTTATAGATTTATTTTTAAATCGTTATCAATTTCTTTTTCTTTTTTTTTTTTACAACGAATTTTTCACTTACGTGTTTTCTTCAATTGTAACAATAACAGTAGAATTGGGATTTCGTTTATAACATCTGTTTATTTTGTCATTAATTTTTCTCGGATATGGGTTCCATTGACCTTGTTTATCTTTCCATAGCCACTGATCTGATGTAGAGAAAGTTAATGAATTTAACATCCCATCAGCCTCTACATCCGTGGATTTGTCTTCACATTTGTCGTTTTTGAAATATTTCCCTTTAGGCATTGTTAAGAGAGGAAGTCTAGCACTGGGGTTTTGACACATCTTGCTGTTAGCATTATTTGCAGATGCACATGTTTCTAGAAGAAAGAAAACGAAATCTCAAACATCAAACTTTAAAAGTAATGATATAGAAAATTTTTTTAAACATAGGTTAAATATATAATGTCAGAGATTTGTTTTTAAGAATTGAACCTTTAGAAGAAGAACTTTCAGAGATATCCACTAAAGAGTCCTTGACTGAGAAATTCAATTCGGCCTTTCTAGTTTGATCTTGGAGGTACTCAACAGCTTCCGGAGAAAATGGGTCGCTATATCAGTACAAAGACTTATAAAGCAGCATTGTTAAAAAAAGATTTTGAAACACTGAAAGCAAAAATTTACATAGCTAGGACAATGTAACTGATAATCACCAGATCTGTAAATCATATTTCCCACGATATCCAAATCTGTTTTCAGTTTTTTGTCCGTTATGCCATCTCACCTGTAAAAAAGGAGGCAATTAGAAGGTCTTGTTTTCGATTTTGGATTACGCGTATGATTTCGTCATTCGAAGTCACTCATCAGTAAGGGGATTTAATGTTTCTAATAGGAAAAAATTTCCATATTCAGATCATCTACAAATACTATAAATTCTTTGAAACTTTACTTTCAGTTCAATTAATATTTGAATGATTGATGGTATGTTGTTTATATCCCTCTTAAGAAATATTCACTTATATGGAGACCCGCCACCACTTACTGAAGGAGAGCTACAAATTTTGTCCTATACTTGGCACTTAGGGCCATTGAGCAGTGAGGGATCTTTTTCTGCCAGTACCTACTGCGACACGGGACCTCGTTTTATGCGGTCCCATTCGAAGGACCAGTCTCCTCGTCCATTAGTGGGATTCGAACCTGCGACGTTAGGTCTGACTCCTTACTTCGCGATTCTAGAGCAGACGCTCGAACTACTGCTCTTCGCTGGCGACTTAATTAATATTTGAAGTATTGGTACAACTACAAATTTTTGACATATAAAAATATTGTTCAGCTTTATATCACAAACTTTTAATTAAGGACGTTGGCAATTTTGGCTCAATAAAGTATAATAACATCAATATCATCAACGCACATGAACAATTCTATTTCTTTTACATCTGTAGACTGATCCAATACTTCTGACCCCAACATCCTTGTCTCCATCTTCCCAGTCTGGACCTAGAGTAAAATTTATGTATATATAATTTACTAGTAAATAAATTGATTAATATATTAATTGTAAGTAACTGATCATGCTTAATATCTAATTACCTCTTTTGACAAGACAGCCAGTGGCAATCTTTCCATTTTTCGTAATTCTAGGTTCACTGCAAACTGTAACATCATATCTACATACATGTATATTTTTCATGTATGTTTTAGATCTGTATGCGTAAGGACACACCGAACCAGTATCCCATTCTACGTATACACATATATCTGAAAGAGAATGCAATTCAAATTTAAAAAACTAAATACTAAATTTAAAAATGACAGTATCACTTTTAGTTTTGAAGAGCTAGTGTAAACCTAATGTACAAAATGAGATTTTACAACCAGTTGGTAATCACGCAAAAATCGGTTGAGGAGAGAGAATTTTTGACAACAGCAACGGTGAAATATGGTGTCAGGAGAAAAAGCGCATTGTGTTTACCGGTCACATCAACAGCGTGTCCTTTGTTAGGCCTTGCAACAAAGAAATTCATGTCAACTCAATATAAAAATGACGACCTTTTTATATGAAAAAGCTTTTTGTAACAGCAGATTGTATGTGCATGAAAAAGCCTAGGCGTTGTGTCGAATACATAATTTGAGCCAGGTTGACTCTAAAAACCCTTGTATCATCAATTTATTTGCCTATAAGTTATACTGCTCGAGATAATGGTACATGTACTAGCATATACATGTACATGTACGTACACAGTAGAAAAGTTGAATTTATCACTTTTTTCATAGTTTAGTTGTTAGATTGTCTATGACATAAATTGAAGTAAATGTGTCAAATTTCGTATCGCCCTTTATCAAGAATTCAGTGGGACATTTCAAATCAAAGTGAATAACACTCCATTATAATTCTTAATATTGAATTAGGAGATTTTTTAATGAAGAAGTTTACGAATAAGTTCTGGTTCATAGGAATACAAAAAAAGGTCTGCTAATAGTGTAGCACAATTAGTATCTATGAAAAAAAAACACTCTCCAAAGCTAGTAAAGACAAATAAATAAAAAAGTCAAGAATCTCTGAGATATTAATCAGTTATCATTTATAATGAAACAGAATGGATCCAAAATATCCTCAATATTTCAATGTGACTACATTAAGTAACAAATGAATGGCATGCTTATGGTCAAAAGATTCGTGTTATTTTCTTGTAAAGTGTAATATGCACTGTAATTTAACAAAGTAATTGAAATTTATTTAATTTTGTTTTCTTAAGGAGATTAATGGTATTCATAATTGTTATGTTAGTAAATCCAAAACAATTGTAATTTAAGGAGGTTGAGGGTCAACAAAGTAACCAACAGATATAACTTATTTTTCAGATATATCTTCAGCTGTCAACCATCTAAATGATGGTTGACAGCAAAGAAAAATGTCAAATATTTTAAGTTTGAATTTCATCATTTTTAAAAAATATCTTTATATTGAGCTCTTCTTCTAAATAAGATCTTTATTGTCTAAAAATGGCCAAAACCTTCCAGCCCTCTTAATGTATTACATTTCACACTAATTGACCCATTGCCTGGAGCAAACCAGTCTTACGACCATGAATTTTGCATTGAAAATAAAGGGTTTAAAAAAAGATTGTTTTTTGTACTTTCCTTACAAATTATACCACTCTGTTCCTTATTTGACTAAGTTATATTTATTTATCAGTATTAAAGGAATTTATTTCTCAAATTAGAGAAGTCTGTTGGCTCCTTTCATTTACTAGATCTTGACCTTAACTCAAATTGTATTTGCTGACAAAGTCATTATGTATCGACAATAGAAGTAAGGAAATGTTGAACTGAAAGACGGGACTGCTGATGTTCTTTTTTTATCAGCTTGTTTATCAATAAAAATATTCTAACTATAAAAAAACAGACCTCTTAATTTTTTTTTAATGGGTTCTTATCTGTTTTAATGACAACATCTATTAATTTAAAAAAAAAAAGAGTTTATTAAAGAAAGACAGCAGTGATTGTTATACGGGGAAAGGGCGACAACTTGCATAACTGCAGAGTAGCTGTATAGCGAGCCTCTAGTGGGCGGGGAAAAGCAGCATCATACATAACGGGTTCTCAAACTAAGCTTCTTTCTTTCTGTTAACACCCAGCCCTCCAGATACAGTGGAAAGTTAAGACAAAGAATTTACAAAAAGAATTGACAAAACATTAACAGACCAATGCTGAGGGCAAGAAAGCAATCCGTAGTGGAGAGGACGAAAGTGACAACTGGTAGAGGAAAACGCGGGTTGAGGGAAAAGATCGAAGTCCCAGCCGCTAAACAGCAGAAAGCTGGCCCACCAGATGACAAAGCAGAGGAAAACAACACGGGTGAGGAAGTTTTACTAAATTTAGATGAAGCTTGTTCAGAATTACCAAATACAATAATAAGCGTTTAACTTAATGATTGTTTGGGTTACAATGTTTCGGAAAATCTGAAGCAAAAAATAATTGTGGGAAATTATGTGGCGCAATTATTAACAAATACAAATCTGACAGACTCTCAAGAAAAAAAAATGTTTTCAAAAATGGGGAATTGGTAACTAAAACAAAAAATGAAAAGAAGATACACATGTAGATGATATAGCTAAGTGGACGGATGCGTTCATAATATACATGGGAATTTACGTTACTGCCCATCCAGCAAAGACTGTGATTTTAATCAGCGTCCGCCGTTTCCCGGGGTTTTGCTGATTATGGATGTTGACTGAACAGTTGAAGTTCAGATATGTGTTGAACAGTTGAAATAATAACGAGTTGAAGTTTGGTATTTGTATTGAACAGTTGAATTTGAACATTGAGTTGATGTTGTGAGGCGAAGGTTTTTGTTTCTTAAAATCCAAGTTCAAGCACATAAAAGAAGTGTCTCGTCACAAAGAATACACCGGTGAAATATTAAATCTTATTTATTAACCATTCAAAGTATAACCAAGAATAAAAACTTTCAGATGTATGTCAAATTGAAAGGTTACAATCAAAGGGTAAAGATAAAAGGTTAAAACATTTGTATAGATTTCCAGTGATGGTTGCAGAAAAGTGGGTTTTGAACAAAATAGACAGTTTATAATTTTCTTATATTTAAAAAATATTTTAGGAATTTATTTTTTCTTACTAAAATTTGTCCTAAAATATATCCCAATTCAGGTAAGCATTTGTATCCCTTTAAATCATCTCCCCTATAAGTCCAAGATTCAAGATTTTCAAAAGTTTATCAAACTTTATCACTTAAGGGGCGGTGAGCCAATACTGTCGGTACGTCTGGAAAGTTCTTCTCACAAGAAAGCATAGCACTTACATGTAATTTTCAAAAAAAAAAAAAATACACAAGTTTAAAACTTTTAAAATCAAACTTAAAGAAAGGTTAATGGTTCAAAATTGTTGAAACGCGAGGAAAGCTTTTGTCAATGCAAAAAAAAATATACAAACCATTGAATTTTATGGTCAACGTAAAAAAAAATATACATTTGCAAATGATTCAATTTTCAAGTTAAAGGTAAGGAGGTCAAATACAATGGTACTGAAGTAAGAGCCTTGTCAGGAAATATACATGTATGATATGCAAGGCATAGGTTCGACTAATTTAAAGCTAGGAACAAGGTTAATTTTTGCAAACAATTAGACAAACAGCCAGACGAACAGGACAAAAACCATATGAACAAAACGTCCGATTACGGAGCATAGAAAGAGAAATACCAGATCCGGGTTACTTCCCACAGGTATACAAAAAATTGGATGCAGTCGTCCAATGCTTTTAGAAAAATCAAGCATGCGCTTCTTATCCTAAAAATATATCAGGAATACATGTAGGTAGTAGATTTATATAATTATGAAATAAATCAATGAAAATACTTAAAAGGTGCTTGGACACAAATTTGAAGTAAATATTTTCTCAAATATTTGGTATGATATAACGACTTCTTATTTGTTTATATAACATTTCACACGGAAACATAAAAATAAAGCACACTTATTGTATCTGTATTGTATCGTGAAATTACGAATTTTGGGACGCTTTTAACTGAAGCATTTTTGCACACTAACAAAGTAAACATTATCCTTAATACTTTAGATAAGAAACACAAAGGGGCCGCATTGCTCAACTGAGCACATTGGCAGATTAATTGATTTACTTTGAAAAAGTATTGATATGACGAATTACAGTTTTGCTGCTGAAAAAATATCTTAAAAGGATTTTTCTTGTGTACTTGTGTAAATATTTGATTACCCATTATGGCCCAACCCTAAATTGTTAAACTGTTCATGATTTGAACAATCTACACTACCAGAGAATGCTTCCATATAAATATGACCAATCACAGTTCTGCTGTTCTCTAGAAGAAGATTTTTAAAGGTTTTTCCTAAGTAATCATCTGTAAAACTTTAATCATCTATTGTGACCCACCAAAGTTCTTAATTTGAACAAAACTGAATCTACGTATTCACATTCTTGGGATGTTTCCATATAAATTCATGTATGAGCATTCACATATTTCCTGTTCTTGAAAATATTTTTAAAGATTTGTCCTAACTATTCAAATGTAAAACTTTGATCACCCATTGTGGCCCGATCCCATCCCGGGGTCATGATTTGAACATAATTTAATCAACACTGCCTGACTGAGAATGTGTCCACATAAATATGATCAATCACAGCTTTCTTGTTCTCAAGAAGAAGATTTCAAAACATTTCCCCATGTATTCATATGAAAATCTTTGATCACAACCCTACCCTACAATCTGAGGATGGTTTCATATATCTGTAAGTGGATGGCTTTACACTTCCTGAGAAGTAGATTTTTTCCCCCAATATATTCTATATTAAATTTAATCACTCATTGTAGGTAGTGAATTGAACAAACTTGAATCTACACTACCTGGCGATGCTTCCACGTGAGTTTCATCTTTCCTGGCCCAGTGGTTCCAGAGAAGACGACTTTCTAAAAATGCCAATAAATTTTTACCTATTCATAATTAACTCCCATTGGGAGAAGGTGTAGCCCTTCATTTGACATTCCAACACACTTGAATTCCCTTTACCTATGGATACTTTGTAGCAATTTTGATTAAAATTAGCCTTTTGGTTCTTGAGAAGAAGTTGATATGAAAAGTTTATGACGACAAGTACGACAGCAACGACAACGACGACAGGCAACGGACACATTTTATCAGAAAAGTCACCTGAGTCGAGGCTAAAAAGTAGGATTTTGTTGTGTATTAATATAAAATATTTAACTATAATTCATAAAATACAGAGTAGAAATGTGAGGAAGCAAAATGAACCCACCAATATTTTCAGTCCTTCCTCAGTGATTTTTCAAACTGAACACACCCGTAAAACGTAAATTGTTTTTTAAACAGGGCAAGGGCTCTGTTATTGTTAATGTTTACGTTTTATCGGGTTCGTTAATTTGTTTGGAATTTATTACACATGCTTATAGCAGAGTATTTAACATTGTACCTCTTCAGTTTCATAAGCAGGTGAGTCCTCAACATCACTAATGACAGTAAAATCAGTGGGTCTACCGTCCGAAATAAGAATTATTCTTGGATGAACATGAAAATCTCCTATTCTTTTGGTATGCCCTATTAGTGAATGACACAAAAGGTAATTATGGCAAAAAAATATTATTAGAATGTGTTTTCACAGTCTTTTGTGCTGTGTGTGCAGATTATGATAAATAGACAACAGTTGTAATATTAAATAATAAAGAATAATTTTATTAAAAAATGTCAAGGTAAAAATGGTAGAAAAAACCTTACCTACTTCACTAAATAAACACACTTTTGCTAAGGTAAATGCTGCTATGAGTGGAGTCAGTCCTCCAAATTCAACGGCATCTAATGAAAAAAGAAATTTTGCAATAGCATTCAGGGCTTTGTGCTTGAATTAAGGGAAATTTCTGTATTTCTCATGTGAACTAATTTTAAAATTTTTGCATAGAGAATACACAGATCTTAGTTAAAAAAATATTAAGCAGAATTTAGAGTTTTACAATAATGCCGTATGTAGACTATAATTACAAAAAAGATTCACGAGATTCAGGAAATCTTGCTTAACAATGACTGTTCATGTAAGTTACCTAGGCAATGCTTTATATCTGAGTAGTGGTTTGAGTAATAGCGTTGAAATTTGGTGCTTCTTCCACATATTATAACAGCTACATTTTCGTCAATATTTGGACAATTTGCGTATCCTTAAATAAAATAATCCCCAAAACGTCTTATTGATTCATTTTTTACATGATACATTTAGTTTTCCCCAAATCAATTAAACAGATAAGTAAAATATTAAGAGAATCTCTCTATGTATAGTAATTATAAGAGCAAGCATATCAAGACAGACTTCACTGCATTATTCGATGGTGCTTCAATAATGAACAAATACACGAGGTTTCTGACATACAATTTAAGAGCTGAACATTTGAAATACAAGAAGCTATCATATTATGCTCTTGATTGCCCTATCCAGGTGACTAATTCTGATTGAATCACATGGCATACAATATTTAAAAATACATCTTTACCATCAATGATAGCGCCAAATGTTTCTTTCATTTCTTGAAAACCTTCTTCTCCAAGACTTGAAGATGTATCTAATATAAATATATTGCATGGCCCTCTTCCATGATGATAGCGAGATTCATGATCTTGAAAAGAGAAACTTTTTCTTCTTATTATTCAATTCTTATAACATAGCATAAAACGATTGTAATGAAAATTAAAGAATTAAAGTTTGTAAAAAAAAAAAAATCATTGGCATGTATTGTCAAAACCTTTCATACATACATGTACATGTGAATAAACATAATTGCTATCTTAATAAAAAGAAAAAAAAAAGAAGTTCACAACTCATGAATATCAATGTAGTGTATCATTAATTTTTTACTTGCACTCTGACATATGTAAATGCATGATAAAAAAAATCATTTCCATGAGAACTAATAATTTCTATCAATATATCAACATAGTTTCTTTTCAAGTAATTGTGTTCAAATTGCCTACTTTTCTGAGCTTCATAAAAAGCTTGTTCTTCCCAAAGTTCTTGTGACTCTCTAAACCCGGAAGCCATCTACCTAGTAAAAGTGGAATTAGGAGCACATATAAATGTTATTGGTGTATATTATACATTGGCGTTATTTCAAAGTCAAGTAAATTAAAGTTTTATAAATGCACAATCATAATCATGATCTTGGGGTTATTTCTTCACAAGCAACCCCCCCCCCATTTTTTAAACAAGAGAATGTTATTTCCAACAAACGAAATTTTTAGATAAATGCAACAATGATACATGTCAACAAATAAAGTCAGTAAACAAATTTGAAGTAAAAGGTAAAGGAAGATCAGTTTTTAAAATAGGATTTGCACCTACATCCTAATAATTATAGATTGGACGATAAAATTGAAAATAGACATTAAATTTTCTAGTGATTAAAGAAAACAATTTTCAATTTGAGCAAACTACAATGTTTTCAAAATTAAGAAGAAAATAAATCTAACCTTGAAATATTCTTTTAAATCGTGTGAAGCGAAATGTTCTTCCTCATTTTTATTTTCCTGATCCCGTAAATAAATCAAATCGACGCACAATACTGTTTTTTATCGCATTGTCATAAATAATTTAAAAGAAAACCGGAAACATAGTCCATAAATATAAGAAAGTTATAAATATGACATCTCAGGAATTAAAATATTGTATTAATATAGAGATCAATAGTTTGGTGTTTAATGATCTTTGACATATTAACATTGTTCGGTCATTATTTCATAATTTCTTTTCTCCTAGACTAGAATACACCTGAGACATTCTTTTGTTATGCGATATGTCTTTTGATATTAGTATAAATATCGACAAAAAAATGAAGATTCTCCTGAAATTGACAAATACTGAAGTCATATCAAAGGATGGAAAATCACAATCATTGAGCATATAGACAAATAATATGTGCATGGATTCGACACTCAAGGTAGACAATAATTTGATATTTATAGAGAAACAAAAAAGTTAAACTAATCACTGTAATGTCAAATAGACCTGCTCTGCATATGATGTGTTATTTAGCTGTCGTGCAGACGCAATTTACATTTTTTTAAAAATAGCATCAATTAAACGCTCCGTGTTTTGTGTTTGTTTACAAATATCATTTAGTTACATGCCACACTGTACAACATAAGATAGAATTTTTTTTTAAATTTCAGCTCTTACATCGCACTTGCTATAAATTACTATATTTTATCCCATACTTACCCCTTTATCTCGTTGATATTGATATATTTTGACATCCCACAGATAAGTGCATTTGTGACGTCACTGTGTTTTGCGTTAGCTTGATATAGTAAAATAAAATGGCGTCAAATATAAAGATAATGTAAAACATTCGTTGTGAAATATCAAACAAGGGAGAAAAAAATCCAACTCGTTGCTCGGAAATAAAAATACACAACTCTTGGATAAAAATCATATCCAATTACAAATCATGGGAGATCCGATATTGAATTTCAAATTGCACTATAAATAGGAGAAGCAATACCGATGTTTTTTATTTGTTTGCATGTTATATTACGTCCCATTCGAGAATTTTTCACTCACATGGAGATGCCACAACTTACCGTTGGAGAGCTGCAAATTTTGTTCTATACTGGCCACTTAGGGCCATTGAACAGGGAGGGAAATATTTTCGTACCAGCATCTATTCCGACATGGGACCTCGGTTTAAACAGTCTCAACCGAAGGACCGGTCTCCATATCCCACAATGGGATTCAAACGCGAGACATAAGGTTCAATTTAACTCCATACTCCGCGACTCAAGACAGACACTCCAACCACTGCGCCACGCGGGCGATTAATACCGATATTACAAAGACATTGCTTTGTCCAATCAAAGTACGCATTTTCCAAGATCATGAAGATACAGTCTAGAGAGAGATTGAGCCTTATCTTTTTTCAGCGACAATTTATACTAGGATGATAGGTAACTTATGTCGCCCCTTCCACGCAAGAAAAATATGTCTTCTGGAATTTAATATATTGTTTTCAGTGGCAATATACCGTTCACGGTAGCTCAGTCGGTAGAGCGCTCGCTCTGTGATCAGGAGGTCGTGAGTTCGTATCTCGGCCGCGACTGACCTAGTCGTTAAAATTGGTAGCAAACGTTCCTTCGCCATGCGCTCGGCACTTTGAAGTGAAAGTTGCGGGTCCTTCGGATGAGACCTTAAAAACCGAGGCCCCGTGTCAGCGGCAGGCGTTGGCACGATAAAGATCCCTCACTGCTCAATGGCCCTGAGTGCCGAGTAAATGTCAAAATTTGAAGCCCTTCACCGGCATACAGTTACGTCTTCATATGAGTGAAAAATTTTCGAGAGGGATGTTAAACAATATACAGTGAATTGGTTCCAGCAATAATGTTTACAGGGTGACAAATGAACCCTTACAAGAAAATGAACTACTGGAAGACACTTCGATAAAATTTTTAAATAAGCAGTCTTGATAAAAGGTTAACAAAAGTATGATTTTTAAAGAAATGCCAGAGTAATCACAATAAAAACAAGTACAGTGTTGGTGCATTTCATACAGTATTTTGAGTTCACGTTTATCCAATGAAATTTAGATACGTTTCCCCCTTTACTTGTTATAAAAGTAACCGATACAAAACACATCTTATAAATAGTAAATTTTTACCAAATTTTTATGGAATTGAAATATATTCCTGGTAGCCATTAGAACTGTGTTTATCTTTTCACCAGTTACATGACTGTACATGTATTTAAATCATTTTTGAAATCATAACACATTTTAGGAAAAAAAATCTGAAAACACACGATCAGATGCGTGCAGGAGAGTAAATCTATATTTGATTATTATTTGAAAGAAGAGATATGTCTTTATCATGTGATCTGGATTTTATTTTCATATTTTTACCATTTTTTAGTAGTTGAGGTAAATTGCAAACAGTTTTTGTAAAGTATTAAATGAAAATTCGAGAATTCACTTTATGTAATGAATTTGATTTTTTGAATGTTTATTTATTTGATATTATCTTTTAGATAAGGATTTTCCTTTGTTTGAAAAAAAAATACGGAAATTTTACTTTTACAGCATGTAATGTGTTTCAAAATAACATATATCAAAAATAACTTTTTAAGTTCAAACTGCTGTCGAATACAATGGCAGTGAATTTAATATATGAAAAGGAAATCCAGGATTTCTCACCAACGAAACTAAAAGCTAGATATTTAAATTTTTATAAAATAAATTTCAGAAATTTATGATTTTAATTAGAAATTTTGCGCAGTAAATATAAATGTTCGAAATTTCAGACTTTTATCAGTTCTAATATCATTTCAGAAGATATGGAAATCAGCATCAGAAATCGATGGGTGAGCCGACTTCATGAAGAATCTAATAACAGTATGTTGTACATAATAATGTCAGAATATCTTGTTATAATTTTAATGTTTATTATAAATCGTTATCCTGCTTAAAATTAAAAGAAAGCATTTCTAATACTATCGATATCCTAATAGCTACATTCATAATGTGTTCGATTGGCTGTAGCATTTTCTTTGACTTACATATTATTTTGTATATACATGTACCTTTTAATTTATCGAAGGGTCAAATTTCTCGTATTGTTACCTTGAGGCTTTGGGAAATATTGTTTCAATATGAACATTCTTTGTGTTTTTGTTTGCATTATTGATAATGCTTTTGTAGACAGTAGGAGTTTATTCAAGAATGGCTGCCCATATGGTACTTACGTTACTACCGTCTTTCTGCTTGATACTTCGGCTAGCATGGCGGGGGAGGGTCTGGAACAAATGAAAACGGCATTCAAGGATATCATTAACGGTAAACATTACTTCATGGATAGCAAAAAGTTTCACCAATACAAAACTTTACCAATACGTTGGTTTTTATATTTGAATGAAAATTGTAGACGTTATTGGTTCTTTCTAGAGTTTTCTAAGCATCCATCAAAAACAGAAAATGTGTCAGTGATAACTTTTGGAGATGATGTAAAAATTCTTCAGTACTATTCCAAGGATTACATATCAATTTCCAGATGTGTAGGTAAGAACCTATCCATAATTCTTCAAATTAATATATTAAAAGATATAAAGAAAATTTTTAATTGCATTTGAAATTCCTTTTTCTGCAGATAGCATAGAATGTAGAGGCGATAGCAAATTAGAAGCAGGACTTATCATGTGTTTGTCAGGTATACAAACAGGTAAAGTAAAATTAATTTAGCTTGCGATTCTCATTTCATTCTGTAATCAAGAAGTTAATATTAAATGACATCATTTTACAGTTCCTTACTCCAACATTGGATCATTTCACGTGAGAACAAGAATAGTCGTTATCACAGATGGTAAACCAACAGATCTCTGTAACGAAAACGGTCATGAGATTTACCAGTCACGTGGCTTTGATGAGGTGAGTTTATCCTTAGTTTAAAAGAGATGATTTCTTGATAATATACCATATGAGTTATTGTAATGAAAGAGGCTCGTTTTATGCCTTAATTTTTCAAGACTGTACTCCTACTTAAACAGAAATATGTCGCTCTATGTCAAAGTTCATATTCTTGTTTTTATTTTTATCACATCTCTGACCTTATACATTGGATCTCAAAATGAAGAGCTCTTTTTAAATAATAGAGAATGATCATAAAAAAAACATCATTTCAAAACCTGTGAAATTTAAGAAATATTGTCCAGAAACAAAGGCATTGCTTAGATGAACAGACTGAATAAATATAACAGACTGTCTTTAGAAAATGCTGGGGTGGGGGATCAGGGCGGGGGATGGGGCGGAGGTAATATTCACAAAAGAGATTGATTGTTTTGTTTAACATCCCTCTCAAGAATTTTTCACTCATATGAAAATGCTACCTTTTGCCAGTGGAGGGTTACACATTCTGAATTGTACTCAGCACTTACTGCCATTGAGAAGTGAGGGATCTTTTCCGTGCCAGCACCTACTGCGACACGGGACCTCGGTTTCTACGGTCCCACCCGAAGGTTTCGACGTCCAACTGATGGATTCGAACTCGCGACATAAGGACACACTTTTTACTCCGCGTCTCTGGAGCAGATGAAGCAGACGTTGTAACCACTGCATCACTCGAGCGATAAAACCATAAAATAGATATACCGTATAAGTGGAAATTTTAGCGAGACCCAAATTTAGCGATTTGTCATAAAAAAACTGGTAATTTATTTTTAGCGAGATGTTATTTTAGCGATTTTAAAATGCACATTAAAGAAGCTATTACAAATAAAACGCAATTAATTTTTAGCGACATTTAATTTTAGCGATCTTGGCACCCTCGCTAATAATGCCAAAATTAAATTCTCGCTAAAACTTCTACTTATACGGTAATAAACGTTTTTATCAACATTAATTTATAATTTTTGCCCGTGTATTTTTGTTTTTTGTTTTTGTCTTTTACTTACAACTAAAAAAATAATTATTTATTTTGCAAGACATTTTCAGGAAAGCTGAATCGGTGTGAAATTCTTGATTTCATAATACTCAGACCAAAGTGAAAATCACCTTATCTTTATAAGATATATGTTCCTATAAATATTTAACTTCTTTCTAAGTTACCGGTCACGGTAGCCTAGTGGTAGAGCGTTCGCTTCGTGATCGGGAGGTTCGATTCTCGATCGCGGCGCCGCGTCATACCTAAGACGTAAACATAGGTAGTGACTGTTCCTTCGCCAAGCGCTCGGCACTAGAAGTGAAAGTCACGGGTCTTTCGGATATGACCTTTAAAACGTAGGTCCCGTGTCACGGTAGGCGTTGGCACGATAAAGAACCCTCACTGCTCAATGGCCCTGAGTGCCGAGTATAGGTCTAAATTTGAAGCCCTTCACCGGCATCGGTGACGTCTCCATATGAGTGAAAAATTCTCAAGAGGGACGTTTAACAATCTACAATCAATCAATCAATCTTTCTAAGTTTGTTTTAAAAGTTACAAGGCTAATTAAGTAAGGTCCTTGTAACATTACTTTTATTTATATTTTTAAAATTTTAAACTCAATAAAAAGTTCGTAAGGATATTGTCTAAAACGGCAGAATCTTTTGCTATTCAAAATTGATAAATTATAAGAATTTGAAATTATTTTATAAAAGGTTAGCAATGGTGTCATTGATGTAGCGAAACAACTGGGTAGAGGTAACCCTATCTTCTGTATTCCAGTTGGAACAGATCCGGATATTGTGAGTATCAGATAAATGAATATATCCAAAAAACAAATTATTTTGTTTATTTCGGAGATTATGAACTACAAAAATCATTTATTTACATTTAAAAAAAAATACAATTTTAGTCATTTTTCTGTTGAATGTGTTTTTAACCGTACGCTCTGTTCAGAATGAAATTTAATATGCACATGTAAATTCTAAAAATAAATATAAACTACAAGATGAAGGAAATCTTGCTTATGCTATGTTTTGGCATTTATTAATACGGTACTATTATAGGT